CGTTCTCATCGGCCTGCCGAAAGGAGGAAAGCAGCTGCTCATGGAGATGGGGCTGTATGAAGGCGTACCAACCCTACGCGTTCACGAGTGCAGCGCGTGCAGGGCGGAAAAGGCGGCAACAAGGCAAGCCATTACCGCCTTCAACCGCGGTGGAGAGGGGCGGCAGCAGGTGGTGGACAACACGGGGCAGGGAGAGGAGGACGGCGGAGAGGACGGGGACTCGGGTGGGAGCGGGGCAGCTGGTGAAGCAGGCAAGAGGCGTCGCTGCTGCGTCGTGCGCGTTCTGTCTGAGCTCAAGGCGTTCAGGGAGGAGCTCAACATGGTTGAGAAGCTCTTCAAGGCACACGGGCACCTGTGCATCTTCTTGCCGAAGTACCACCCAGAGCTCAACGCAATCGAGCGATACTGGGGGTACATCAAGCACCTCCTCCGCCTCCACTGCGAGTATTCCCTTCGCCACATGCTCCAGGTCTTGCCCGGCGCGTTGAGCGGCGTACCCGCACGGTTTATCCGCGCATGGAGCAGGGTGACGTGGCTGTACATCGAAGCCTACGACGAGGGCCTGGAGGACTACCTCGAGTACCGCGATCTCAAGGAGTGGGGGAAGCACCGAGAAGCCACCGCCAGGGGAGATGCCGTGATTCAGGCGAGGGGGGCGGGGAAGACGCCGGAGCAGAAGAAGGCAGCCGAGGCGAAGGCGCTTGCGGCTGCGCAGGAAGTGCGCAAGAAGTCGATGGCAGCGACCAGGGAAGCCTTCAACACGTGGACGAGCAAGAGAGCCTCCCGGAAGGAGCAGCTACGGCTGTGGATTTTGCGCAACACGATGAATTTTTTGAGGAAATGGTTGGGCGGGCACGCTCAGGCGTGAGTGGGGAGGGTACGTATCTATATGTCGCGGTGTGTTGTTGTGTTGGTTTCTCGCGTTAAGGCGCGGTAGAGGCGCTCGTCATGGTCACCAACTCAACGCTATAGCTGTCTCTCTTGGTATCGGACTTGCTTAGAGAGAACGGATGTGATTGATGCATGCTTTGTTTGCAGCACCTTCACCAGCCAGGGGTTGAGTAGAAAGTAAACGGCGGTATTGTATGTATGCATGTAAATATGTAACGTGTAAATAATGTAAATATGGATTGACAACGGTTTAACTGATGTTCTGAAGGCATTTACGTGTAGAAGGGAGGGGTTGAGGGGGGGTCGTGGTGTACTTTGGGGGCTCCGTGGGGTCATGAGGTGGTGGGGGGGTGGGGGCTCCGTGGGTCATTTGGGTAAAAAATGTCGCATTTCACCCAATCACCAAAAACTCATCGGATATCGACGAAGCTCGACGCCGCGATCACGCCCAAAGTTGTTTCACTTTCCAAATCGTTTTTTTTGAAAGTTATCGCGAAAAACAAGATTGCGAATATTTGCCCGAACGGACCATATATTCCTTTCGTTTTCCCTAGCGTGTCGCCGCCGCTGCCGTCGTCGTCGTTGTTGCTTTACTACTGCTGCTGCTGCTGCTGCGTTCATGAACTCGTACCGGCGGCGGCTTGTCTTGGCGTCTTTCGCTGTGCTCTAGGTGAATATGCCACGGGCTCTAAACGACGAGATGGGGGCTTCTGGACGAAGACGACAACATGAACGCGGACGATGGGATACGCGGCATGGAGATTCCGGGCGGTTTTCGTATTCGGCTGGTATTCGGGCTTCTATGCCCGCTACTCTTGACAGTTCGTTGACGCCATGTCGAGTATACTCCTGAGGCTGGGCGTGTGGATGTGGTGGTTTGACATGGGTCATCCCATCACTCGGGTTTCACTGTAGCGTACCCGAAACCCTTACGCCCGGACGACTGCTGTACCACCGTTTCCTGCTCGAGCAAGACCAGCAACGAGCAGCATAGACTATAGTTACACGAAGGGTACTAGACTACAGCAGATCAGTGGAGACCAAGCTGGGGTGGTAGGCTGGTGGTTTTTGCTTGGTGATTCCAACACGGCAGAGCCCAGGGACGCTTCAATAATTGAGCACAACGCAATGATGAAAGTACGACCGATCGCGGCGTCTAGGGGCTATGGTTGTGCGTTTGGTTCATAAGTCCTGTCGTCGACCTCTTGCAGCAGTAAACACACGCAAACCATATCAGGATGTGCAGGGGCGTCGGGCGGGAGTCGGGGCTACAATTTTCAGCGGCGGAGGTGCGGTACACACTAGGCCGGACACATGTAGTTTGGGGCAGTCAATAAGGCATGAACCCCGATGTTTTGATGAGTGGTTGAGTGTATCGCCCGTGGTGGCGAAGGCGCCCACCATCCACGGTTGCCACTGCTGTGCTAGCTGCAATGTAGTTACACAACAGTCAGGTGCGATGTGCGGCGAGATTAGAAATTTAAAAGCTGCACGCAACAAAACACGACCAATCAACGTGGCGCATCTTGTTCCCGTTTGTGCCATGATGTGCCCGGACGTCGCAGGACATAATAACTCTTGCCTCGCCCTCGCCCACACCTGGTCACAACAACCCTCTTTCTCTTCCCAAGAAGAACACCTCAAGTAAACATGTCTGGACGTGGAAAGGGCGGCAAGGGTCTGGGCAAGGGCGGCGCCAAGCGCCACCGCAAGGTACTGCGCGACAACATCCAGGGCATCACCAAGCCCGCCATCCGCCGCCTGGCTCGCCGTGGGGGTGTGAAGCGTATCTCGGGACTCATCTACGAGGAGACCCGCGGCGTGCTCAAGGTGTTCCTTGAGAACGTCATCCGTGACTCGGTGACCTACACCGAGCACGCCCGCCGGAAGACCGTGACGGCCATGGACGTGGTGTACGCCCTCAAGCGCCAGGGCCGCACCCTCTACGGTTTCGGCGGCTAATGCTCATCATCATGCTCCCCTGCTTCAAGACAAGAGGCTCAACGCTCTCAACCCCCTGGTCGAGACGCTCCCCTCACAAACCAACCTGGTGTTTACTCAACACCACCCAGCTTGCGAAAGAAATAGCCCGGCCATCATTCGTCATGGCATTTCCGATCCGAGATTTGAGGTGCTGCTCCAACCAGATATGTTTCAAAAATATCCCAACGGATGCTTTCCAGAGATGAGAGTGACGGGAAAGAAAGGGTAGCTCGTTGTGATTGTTGTGATCTTCTCATGAACTGATAAGCATCGTGTATTGTCGGGAGTATTCGACCCAGTGTCGCCCTATATCCCCGTCTTTTGTTGTGGGTTGTGTGGGGCAAAAGAACAAAACGGTATGTACCAAGTTGTGCGACAAAATATATCTCAAGCATGCACCATAAATGTAGGCCTGTCCTCCATCGGCCGTTTTGCTTGTATGACGGAGAATAAGAAGGTGGAATTACTTGAAATTAGTATAGAAATAAATTTTGTGTATCTAAATCGAAAATAAAACGGCCGATGGAGGACAGGCCTACATAAATGGACCCCGACACCCGGGACCCGCGCTGATTGGTCAGGATCACCGAGCCTTTTTCCGCCGGCTCAAGCGGAAAGTACCGCGACCGGGCTCCTCGAGCCAGCTTCACCGTTTCCTGTCGCAAAACTTCCCGCACACACACCATGCCGCGTGATTGGCGTGATGCGAATAATCGGACGCAATGGATTGGTATCATGAAAATAGTGGCCCGATAGGGCCTCTTTTTGTTTTGAAAAGTCAAGAGGGGGGGGGGGAAAGGGGCTCAAGTAAGCCCGTCTGTCTGTCTGTCGGTCTGCGATCAGCCTCGATATAGTACCCAGCAGAATCCAGCCCATTTCACCATCTAGGCACCAAACTGCAATCTAAGACGTGTTCGCAACAAGTAATATTTTGCCCGAGCTGCCTCACCTCCTACCTTTTCAATCCGTGCTCGGTGCGTCGAGATAGTGCAGCGTCGGTACCCAACTTGAAGCAGGGAAGTTTCTGGCCCCTTGCAACACCGAGAGGAGGCGTCGTTTGATTTTGAACCGAGACAGATAGCCTCGCACACCACACACCACACAGAGCCAGACATGGACAAACAGGGAGAGGGAGACACAGACCACAGCGAGGGCGAGACGGCGGGAGAAGGGTGTGCCATACACTGCTGCTGTTAGATATCGGCGGAGGAAGCGAGAGGAGAGATCAACATTTGGTTGCAGCAGCAGCAGCAGCTGCAGCAGCAGCGGCCTCTTCTCTCTTTCCGCGGAGAGGGGCACATGACACCAGCAACACACAGACGCTGCTACGCACCACCATTGGTGCGACATGTACTGCTGTACGCCTCTCTACACTTTTGTGCGCGAAGGCCTAGTGTGCGACCAGTGCCTCCCGTGCTAGCCTGGTTACCCATCACACGCTTGAACGCTTTTGAGATTTCTCGATAGAAGCTCGAACCCACAAGGGAAGCACAACAGCAGAGACATTTTTTTTTTTTAGCTGCTAACCCTATATTTTGATATACCACACCCCTCCCTCCCCCCCCCCCC